GTAGACAGCAAGAAGGCCCCCCCTTGAGCCTCCACACTAAACCCCCCCCCAGGTCCCTCAGCCCTTCCTCATAAAGCTTATTCCCCTTCACCAGCTTTGTTGCCCTTCTCTGGACCCAAAGCAGCAGCTTAAGGCATCAAAAGCAAAGCTGTGTCTCTGACCAGCACTGAGGGGACACTCAGTGTTGTGCCACAGCATCACCTTCCCTCTTACCTCCTGGTTTTCTTGGCTGTTCCCGTGGTCCCTCCATCCTGCTGCTTGCGCTTCGCTCCCCGTCCCTTCCCGCTGCCTCCGGCGGCGATTCCCCCTTGGCACAACAAAGCACAACACGTCAGGGGAGATGTGATGGGACGGAGCCCGTGAGCACGGAATCTCCACTAAGACAAAGGGGCAGAAGCAGCCCAATTACAGGCAGTTCATGAGCTCAAGAGCCTGTGTCAAAAGACACAGACTTTACCAAAAGTGAGCAAAATACAGCACTTTTACAGAGCTTCCAGTCAACTTCTGAAATGGCCAAATGTAGAGTGGAAGCTGAGTAAGATTTATCAAGAGCTCAAGCTTTTAGGGTGAGAATTAAGAACCTTTTCCGTCTGGGATCCACTTCCCAAGCGTTACGATTTGCTTTCATATGGAGATTCCAGTCACAGTCTGAACTCATTGCTGTGAAAGCAGCAGAAACCCAACCTACAGCACACATCATCTGATTTGAAACATCACCCCCCTGACACACCGTGCTGGAGAATCACTCTGACACCCATAAGCAAGAAGCACTTAACATTAAAATTCCCATCTATGAAACAAAATACACTCAAGTTGAGGGAAAATGAAAAGCAGGAGGTGTTTCTCTTCAGTATGTCCCAAGTCAGTGCTGTGAGTGGCACGTGGCTTCTCTTCTGCCCCAGTTGTATTTATGAGGGAAGATTGAGTGCTGTAATTCACACTGAGATATGTTCAAATTCCATCAAACTACTGTCAGTTTAATGTATGAATGAGTTAAATTGTAAATGCATTTTACCATCACACTGCTTCAAAAGAGATCACTACTGATTTGCAATGAAACAGAATCATAGAATGGCTGGGGTTGGAAAGGACCTTAAGATCTCCGTGTGTACTGCAGAAAAACACCTTTACAGATCACATACTGTGTTGGAACTAAAAATACACTCAGCTCTTAAGTTATCAGCATTCCCCTTGTGGTGGAAGGGATTCAGATCATTGAGGGAATACCATATTCTGCACAAACGTGACATGATCTCAGCTGCACTGGCTGGTCTGAATGCAGAGGAATATTGAGGCTCTCCAGTTTGTCATCCTTTCTTTGCCTAAACAATCAGGGTATCATCCCAGCTCCTGGATGCAGATCACTTATTCTGGCATTAGGATTTAAAACTACAATATCAGGTCAAATCATGCAAAGGAAAAGAAAAAAAAGATAAGTGAAAATAAAGCTTTAAACCAGTCAAGCGGGGCAGAATATGATAATTCAAAGCTTCTAACTGCTAAAGACTACGAAGGGAAACAGTTGGGTTGTACTAAAGGATTACTGCAATCACATCAGGGCACGCTTTGGGTTTATAATTGACTTTAGCTTCTAAAAGAATGGAGCAAAAAAGCTTTGCAAACAATAATACTTAAGTTTTAGAAGCTGAAAGGTAAATATTCACCTCCCAAAGAGGCTCCACCTGCAAGAACAGAAGTGGCACCACACGTTTATCAATCTTCCAGGTATTAGACCAAAACCAACCAGAGACAAGGCAGCCTTAGCCATCTATAACCCTGTTTTAAAAAGCCCAGAATACCTCCTGTGAGGTAACATCTGAACACAGATGAACACAGGTTTAATATGGAACAGCCTTGTGCACGAGGAAATCTCAGCAGCAATTACCACCACTACAGTAAGATTACCCCAGGGAAGATGCAAGCAGTGGTTAGAAGGAATAACAGGTACTTCCCCCAACTACTTTCAAATCTCAGAGTGAGGGAATCTGAGTAACACAAGCAGGTAAATTAAAATCATTCTGGAAGACAACTGACAGGTTTGGCTTTCTCCAAGTCTCTCGAGTTAGGTGGCCACCAGGAAGGAAGAAGTTGAGCCTTCACAAGGAGGTAACATTAATCTACCTCTGTGGAAAGGCACAGTGAGACTGGCTGAATGCTTTGAATGCAATAAGCACAACCTCAGTTCACAGGACAGCTTTAACTGCAGCATCTCAAGTGCCACCCAACTACAGGACTGGGCAAACACAGCTTAGGCCCAGGGATTCAAAAGCCTGCTTAAAGAACTTGCCATTTAAGCTTCCACTTGTGGACACAGCATTGTTCTGTTTCTGGTTATCATATGCAGGACCAATATTGGCAAGATCCTGAAAGAGAAAAAAGAAATCCAACGTGTGGACTCAGTCAAAGCACTCAAAACCCACGTGCAGGTCCTGGAGTACCCCAACACAGGCTCACAGTGTGACCTGGGTAGGTTTTCCTCATTAGATGGCCAGCAAAAAGAGTCCCACCTCCCCCCTGCACACTTTCCTTCCATCACCAACCACATACTTGGTCTAAAAGGCCAAATTTGGGGTAATCTTCTTCTGGGTCTTTACTCCCTGGGTCTGGATGCTCTTTCACCAAGAATACATCTCTTTCTTTGCACTACAAGAGAGGAGGAGTTTAAGTTACACAGAGTAAGATCACACCAAGTTCATTAACAAGTTTAAATCATAATATTTATTAGTTTGTGTATCAACTACTGATAAAGCATCAGGATCTTCACCCTTTAGCTCCAAGCGCAGACCTCAGCCAACACAAACATCAGCCACCCAAACCCCTCCACAGACTCACCTCCAAACACTTACCATGGTTTTGACAATATTATTAGGCCAAGTCATTTTCCCAGGTCTCTGGCGTGTTGTCATACACTCCCAGTATTTATCAATGAATGGGATAATATCCTGGAAAACATCCAACCAAATGGACTCTTAAGAGTGGGTGTGAAAGTCTCACACTGTTTGAAGTTCACTCATATCACAGCTCATGTCAATGTATGCTGCTTTTTGGAACAGCCTCACCTTATCTTTTGAGAACATGGTTTTTGGGTGCTCATCCTGTGTCCTTGACTGCCACGTCAAGTTGGCCAGAGCACTAAGGCACATCTCCTTGAGATCTTCAAAACAAAAGCACACCAGAGCTAGGACTGGGCTTCAAAGGGAAGAGCAAACACCCACCTGTGTACCCAGTGACCACTGACTGACAGCAAAACCCTCTATCCTAACACAGCAGCCCCCAATAACCAGACTTTCACCATCAGTAGCTGGTAGTAAAGCATTTTTAGACACAGCCACACATCCTTACGGGGTTTTTTGTCATTTTTGGACAGTTTCAGCAGAGCCCTCCCCCGAGTTCAGCTCAAACAGAGCCTCCAGGGTTATCTTACACTAAATTCACACTTACTTGCTTGTTTTCTTAAGAAATAGGTATTGCCACTGTGATGGCAAACGTTGCAATGGAAGCTGTAGTTGGTCATGAAAGGCAGGCAGGAGCTGGAAAAGAGCAGGCTATAGGTAAGCACTGGTGTGCACTCTACTTACTACATCAGCTTAAGGTACTCCTTATTCTTTACTACACGGGCTTACAAAATGAATTATTCCACATTAACAAATTAACTCTTCTCTTCAGTTCTACAACCATCTCGCAGCTTTAAGGAGAAGCTTTCTCAAGGGCATCAAGAAAAGCCACAAAGCTCTTGAGGATCACTCAAGCTAAGCGTCACCTTCTGGGTTTAGAGAAGCCCTGAAAGTCAAATACTCAGCAAAATAAGAGGCAACAAAGGCAGCTCTGCACAAAGAGCATCACCTCAGCCCATTAAGTGCAGTTGGGGGTCCAGAGAACTTTTGAGGGGCAAAATATGCCCCAAACAGTGAAGGTTTTACTATGTCTCAGGTCATCCCACACGGCTTAAGGAAAGAAAGTTGAATTTACTGCTCACTTCCAGAAAGACTGGGGGGTTTTTTGCTCACACCCATTGGAAACGGCTGTCAAAGCCCCCCTGATTCAAAACAAGATTCAGAGGCCCCTAAAGCACCGAGCCCTGAGGTCTGGAGGGGTTTACAAAGCTGAAGGGTACAAACCCTTCCCGCAGCGCTGTGCTCTCCTAAAGCTGCTGGTATTTACAACAAACCACAGCCGTTCCCCTGCGTCCTTGGAAGCGGAGCAGGGACCTTGGGCACTCGCTCTAAACCCTCCCCCTCGAGCCCAGCAGAGCCCAGCTTACGTACGTGGTGTCGATGCCAAACGTGTCCGCAGTGAACCACTTGGTGCAGATGCCACACTGCAGCTCGATCTCCCCCAGCTGCCGCCCGTTCTCTTCATCCACGGAGCCTGCCTGAGCATCCAGCACTTCAGAGCTGTCGCCAGCAGCCTCCTGCAAGCAGAGAGCAGCAAACGTGGCCTGGCTTAAAGACTGCATTGCACAGGGACGGCGTTTTGGGCAGCAAGTGTGAGAAGTGAGAGGGATTAACCTGTTTTCCCCTATACCCCGCCGCTGTGTGCTAGTTTGGAGGGTCAATTCGAACCAGTCAGGTGGGTGAGGGTTTCATTTCCAACATAAAACTGGAAGAGGAGCTGGCACGATGGAAAATCCTTCCGGAACATGTTTTGGTTTTCATTAAGTTCCTACATCTTCACCTTCCCCCTGACTCAGTGATGTTGGGAAGTTGGGGATGCTGATAAGCCCCAACCCACCACATTCTCTATTTGAGCAATGCTTTCTCTTCTGCTGTCTTCTTGCCCTTCCTGTGGCTGTCTTATGGCTTCATGCCTCCCCCCTGCAGGCACCACATCGCTCCCAAACAAGGATCCCGATAAGGGCGGGTGGAAAACAAAGCCCGGAGTGGGAGAAGGGAGAGGAGACAGATGAGCCCCAGCGGAAAGGCCTGTTCCCAAGCCCCGCATCCACACGGGCTCCACGGGACGCAGGCACCAGCCCCCAGCAGCACCCCCA